GTCTCATTGTGACTCAAATGGCGTGAAATTCAGAAACTGGCTTACTGTGATGGATCAGTGTGGGTGGGAGAGCTTGTTGCAAACGTAGGTCCCTGTGTGCTTTGGGGGGCAGTGGGGACAAGGCTCCCTCCAGTCCCCCCGCCAACTCCAGCTTTAAGCCAGACCTCTTGGAGCATCTGGGGGGAACATGCTTTCTAAGCCCTAACGAGGGGCTGGCCAGGGACTGGCTTTGGTTGAGGCAGATAAAACCTAAGAATATAATTTTAGCACCGCCCCATCAAACTTTCTGTGTTGATAGAAATGTTCTGTCCTTGTACTTGTCCAGTAACATAGCCGCTTGCCAAATGTAACTATGTATTAAGCCCTTAGAATGTGGCTAGTGCAACCAGAGAACTGGATTTTTAACTTTATTTCATTAAAATACATTTTAATTTAAAAACAGGTGGCCAGATATGGCTTATAGCAACCATCTGGGAGAACACAAATAGAGGTGAACTTTCGCTCTCACCCTCCTGTCCCACTCGCTACTCACAACTTGCTCATCTAATCGCCTAACAGTCTTTGAGGCTTCCCTGGTGGCTCAGTGATAAAGAACTCACCTGCCAATTCAGGAAACGAGGGTTCTACCCGTCGGTCAGGAAGGAACCCCTAGAGAAGGAAATGGCAACCCACTCCAGTGTTCTTGCCTGGGAGATCCCATGGACAGAGGAGCCTGGCAGGCAACAGTCCATGGAGTTGCAAAGAGTCAGACATGACTGAGCAACTGAAAAACAACAGCTGCAGAGTCTGAGCGTGTCTGCTGCCAGCCAGGCTTCCGTTCAGGCTACAGCTTGGGTAGAGGGAAGAACAGGCCTGTCTGTGAGGGGACTCGTATCAGAATGTTCTGGAGGGAAACTCAGGTGAGTAATGGATGACCTCACATTTGCCTCTGCACATCTTCCCCATCCTTGGTCCCCATCCTGGAGGCTGCCTGCATGGAGATGTCAGTGGCTGCTGGGCCTCTGGCCTGTGGATTCATTCGCGGGCAGGAGGAGAGAGTGGGAAGCTTTGTTGCAGGCACCCTCCCTGCCAGGGTTGCCGGCCTCATCCTTCAAAACCACCACTCCTACCGGGGAGCCCCCTCCACACACAGCTGCCCCTTCAGGATGCTGGTCACTTCAGGGTAACCCCCTGGGGTCCTGTGTCCTCTCTCGTTTGTTTCTGAAACTTTGCCCCCAGTTTTCTCAACAGAGCCCTTCTTAAAGTCCCCTCCATTGCCCAATGAGAGCTTGAAATCTGTCTCCCACCAGGACCCCAGTATTTCACGAGAACACCTGGGGTCAGGCTATGTAGTCTGTGTGCTTAGGATCATAGGGCATCCAAAAGGAAGTTCCCTTCCAAAGGGAAGTGTGTAAGTCATGCTCAGGGTAAATGAGAGCCAGGAGGCATTGTGTGCATGTGTGTTGGGGCCGGGGGGCTAAGTGGGGAGAAAGGCTAGGGTGAGAGGCCTGGAGGTGGGCAGGGGAAGAGCCAACCTGGGTTTGCTCCTGTCTTCACTACCTGCTGGAAATGTGGACCTGGGAAAGCTGCTCACATCCTCTGCAGTGTGCTCAGAGCTCTCATGCAAACCCTTCAGGGTCCAGAGGAGTCTGTCCTCTGTCCCCCACACCCAGCAGGTGTGTGTGACGCTGTGTGCAGTGAGTGCAGGCAGATTCCTAGGAGCATGCACTGAGAGTGGAAGTAACCATGCCTTCTGCCAGAGTTGTTTATACTAGGTTGTATCACATGGAATAGCCATATTCATGAATTAAAGTTGTTTGAATGTTGGCAATTTTCCTGTGATTTGACTCATAGCTACAGTGAATGTAATTCTGAACATTCACCACAACCTTGTAAGGAAAATACTATTATTGTCCCTGTTTTCCAGATGGGAAAACTGAGGCTTAGAGAATTTCAGTCTTGGGCCTGACAATAGAAATGGTAAGTAACAGAGCTGGGACAGCATCAAACCATGAACTGTATGACCAAGACTGGGTAACTTTTCTCCTCTGGGTCTCAGTTTCATCTCCTTCCTGATGCGAAGAACTGACTCATTGGAAAAGACCCTGATGATGGGAAAGATTGAAGGCGGGAGAAGGGGACAACAGAGGACGAAATGGTTGAATGGCATCACTGACTCGATGGACATGAATTTGAGTAAGCTCTGGGAGTTGGTGATGGACAGGGAAGCCTGGCGTGCTGCAGTCCGTGGGATCGCATAGAGTCGGACACGACTGTGCAACTGAACTGAATTGAATAGGAAGAGACGGGAGTGGTACCCTCTAAATTCCCTCCCACCCTAGAAACCTGTGGTTCCATGAAGTTGAGCAGAGAAAGGTTGCTTTCATTTTATGTCACTCACTGAAAGTGCTGGAAAGGAGACATGACATCAACTTGGGAGACACCAAAGATTTCCCCACGGATCCATGGACCCCACTCCCCTCCCCAAATGGCTGCATGCAGACCCCAGGGCCCCAGCAAAAGGACAGAGTCCATCGGGAGCACCTTGTGTCTGGTGTCCACTCTCAGCAGCTGCCTGGAGCCCTGCCCCTGGTCCAGTACGGATGACACGGCCCTGGCCATCTGGAAGAGCCGCTCAGGGCCACGCCCACCCTGCAGAATGGCGGTGACATTGTCCCACACTGTGGCCTGGAATGCTTCTTCCTCCACACAGCTGTGTCCAGGTCCCACCTAACAGGAGACCAGAGATGTGCTCAGAGCAGGAGGACCTCAACCCACCAGTTCTTGTTCTAGAATCTGGAGCCTGAAGGCCCAGCCTGCACATGGTGAAGCAGAGTAGGGCTGGATGGCTTTACCTGGCATGGGCGCTCCCCCCAGGGCTTCAGGGCAGTGGACCCACTTGTGCTGATGGCCACCTGAAGCAAATCTCGGGCAGGCCATGACTTCACCTCTCATTGTTCTCCTCATTGTGCCCTCAGGTCTTTCCATCCACCTGGCTCCTCACCTTTGAAACTGACTTGAAATTTTATCCAACCTCTTCCTTATAGACGTAGTGGCTGATCTTGGTCCTCCTTCCTCTGAACTCTGAAGGCACTGGTCTAACTCATCTCTAGGTTCTTCTGCCCCCACCTCCCTCAGGTACCCCACCCCAAATCCCCTGGATCCTTCCCCTGTACTGGCCACTAGTCATAAGATCTACAAAGGGAGATACTAGGTCTGTTTTGCCCATGGCTGTATCCCCAGGACCAGGCATGTGGTAGGTGCTCTGTAAATATATGTTGAAGGAATGAATGAATAAACCCTCATACGATCATGCCCTTGGCTCCTTTCAACCCCACCACCCTCTTGGTGAAGTTCAGACAAGTCAAGAAGTTATCTCAGGGACTTTTCTGGTGGTCCACTGGTTAAGAATCTGTCCTGTGATGCAGAAGACATGGGTTCAGTCCCTGGTTGGGGAACTAAGATCCTGCATGCCATGGGGCAAATAAGCCTGTGCACCACAACTAGAGAGTCCATGCACCACAATGAAAGATTCTACATGATGCAACCAAGATCCCACGTGCCACAAGTAAGACCCAACACAGCCAAGCAAAGAAATAAATTAATTAAATTTTAAAAAAAAACAAACAAAAAAGAACTTGTCTCAGTAGAGGAGCAGTGGCTACCACTCACCTTAACCATTGCCTGGGTCTGCTGTCTGCCCCCCGCGTGATTGGAGACAGAAATGACCACTGTCAGCATGAAGTCATTGTTTTCTTTTCCAAGTGGCAGGTAAACTGATGGGAGGGCAGGTTCAGGGCCACAGTGTAGACAGGAACCTGGCAAATGGATGTTGAATAATTAAGGGGGCATTCTCAGGTCTCAGGGTGACTGTAAGTCCACTAAGTTAGAGCCTGATGACAAGGACACAAAAGCCACAGCTCGTGAGGTCACGGCAGGGACTCTTGGACTCCATAATTCCCAGGAGAAGACAGAGTTTATGCTGATCCACTGTCCTCCCTAGGAAATCACCTGCTGCTATGACTTTGGAATAGCTGTATATTGTCACCCTGCTTATTTAACTTATATACAGAGTACATCATGCGAAATGCTAGTCTGGATGAAGCACAAGCTATAATCAAGATTGCAGGGAGAAATATCAATAACCTCAGATATACAGATGACACCACCCTTATGGCAGAAAGTGAAGAGGAACTAAAGAGCCTCTTGATGAAGGTGAAAGAGGAGAGTGAAAAAGATGGCTTAAAACTCAACATTCAAAAAATGAAGATTGTGGTATCTGGTCCCATCACTTCATGGCAAATAGATGGGGAAACAGTGGAAACCGTGGCTGACTATTTCTTTGGGCTCTAAAATCACTGCAGATGGTGACTGCAGCCATGAAATTTAAAAATACTTGCTCCTTGGAAGAAAAGCTATGACCCACCTAGATAGCATAATAAAAAGCAGAGACATTAGTCTGCCAACAAAGGTCCATCTAGTCAAAGCTGTGGTTTTTCCAATAGTCATGTATGAATGTGAGAGGTGGACTGTAAAGGAAGCCGAGACCTGAAGAATTGATGCTTTTGAACTGTGNTGCTCTATCTGAAACAGTGCCTTCCATGCTGTGTCTTTGTTTACCAACTGTCTCCACCACTGATTATAAGTACAGTGAGGTCAGAGACTTTCTCTATTTTGTTCATTACTGTATATATAGGACCTAGACCAGAGCCCGAAATTCAATATATTTGTTGTAAAAATGAATGAATGAGTGAATTTCCTTTGTATCCTTAAAGGGGACCTGTCTATCATTGGAATCTCTTCATTGTAGCATGCAAACAATCACAGTTATTGAATTGCGATTGCCAAATCATTTTTATATTGGTCACGCTTCCCTCCCCCTGCTCACCTGTGTGAGGCAGAAGGATGAACTATAACAGAATAACCAATCAGAACTGGAGCAGCTGGCCTGGTGTCTTCATTTAGGGAGACACAGATTTGAAATGAAATCTACTTACCTTCCTTGAATTGTTTTCCTGCAGGGTCAGACCCAGTCACAGACATGCAATCCACCTCTATTTGAAGGACACCGCATGATCTGACGATAGTGCCCCTCTACCTTCACCTCGTCAAGGTGTCCAGTGTACATCATTGTGGTGTTTAATGCTAGATACTGGGGAGCCCCCCAGCAACATTCCTGGAGCCTCAGTTTGGAGGATGGTCCCAGTCTGACTAGAACATTTTCAAGAGCTCTTGTAAGGGTCATAAAATGCTGAAGTTCTTTGGGAAGACACAAGGACTCAGGTAAACCTGCCAAGGACCAGCCACCCCCATTCCAGGCAAGCAGAGGCAACTTGGCTGGCTTGCCCGTCTCCCCTGGAGATGCCCTGCGGCAGTCCTGGGTGGGGGCTACAGTGACAGGACACTGGCCAGGGCATCGCGGTGGGGCGGCATCAGCATGCTCCATCTCCTCCTGTAGACCTTTGCGAGCGATTCTGCTCTCGGCATGCTCTGTGACATCACCCTCTCCCTGTTGCCTCTCCAGAATGGGTCCTAACATCACCGATGATTCTGTGAACTGGGCCGTGTTAGTCCCGAAGAGCTCCAGGGGTCAGGGCTCCTCCCGGTGTGTACTAAGGAATGGTGTCCTGGTGGTCATACTTCTGCACACCCTCCTCCTTTTCACCCTTACTGTGTCCCTCATTCCAGGACAGAGATCATTTTGGCCTCTATAGTTGCGAGGAGATACTGATGGGACCTGCTTCTCATGTCGCTGTGGTGTGTGGCTGGGTCAGTGGGCCTGGCATGGGGGTTAAGGGTCATCCTGCAAACCTCTCTCACCCACGGAACACATTTTTTGCAGCCCTCAGAGAGAGACAGGTGCCTGCTCTTGGAGAGGAATGAGCCCAGGAGTGAGGGGTGATGCAGGCCTGAGCCGGTACCTGACTCCAGGCAGAAGCAGTACTCCCGGGGTCCCAGGGCAGCGGAGGCGTTGCAGAAGATGGCAAAGCTCGTCAGGATGGTCCCCTCCTCTGGGGCAACGGTGCAGGTGGGCACCTCCAGGGGAGGCAGGGAGCTGACCACATAGGTGTCCTCCCCGTAGGCACACTCGGTCACTGCTGAAGAGTGAAAAGACAAAAGGTGTGCTTAGGGGCTGTGGGTGTCACACAGACTCCACCATGGCTCATGATCTCCTGGGAGCTTGTTCAACATGCAGATTCCCAGGCCTTGCTCCAGAGCCTCTCTCTGGAGATTGGGGGTAAGGCTCAGAAATCTGCATATCTTAACTACTCTACCCCTACCCCTCACACCTCAGGCAGGGCATTCCAGGGTCTCCCTCAGCAAAATTGGACAGAGACAGAATCCTAGTCCTGCCATTTACTCTGCATGTGACCCTGGCTTTGACCTTTTTGAGACTCAGTTCCTCATCTGTAAAATGGAGCTAATAACAATAGATTCCTCACAGGGCTTTAGTGAGGAGGGAGAATATTGGAAAACAAGACTTTCTCAAGAGACCGAGCTTGAAGGGCCACAGTCAGGACCTAGAAAGAGGAAGATCCTACCCCAAACCATGGGCTCCCACAGCACCATGAAGAGCCCCAGCTAACCTGTACCAACACCCCGCACCACCTGTTATAATCACCTAGTTTTCAAAAACAGTGCATGCCTGGAAAAGTTGTGCATACAGAATTTTAATCAATTAAAATGAATTCCCTGGCCCAGACTTAATTCAAAAGGTTTGGGGTGAACCCAGGAATGTGTAATTTAAAATAGTACCAGGTTATCCTGGGCAAGTGGCTTATGAGCCAGTTTGAGAAATACTGAATCAAAGAAATTCATCTGAAAAGGAATAATCACCCCATTATTTATCTTTCTGAGAATCTGCATTCTGCTGTCCAGTGCTTGTTTAAAGTGAGACATGCTGAATCACCTGGCAGGATTCATAGACTGCACACCCCGGGACGGTCTGCTTTTACCACCTGTGTTGTGTCGCTCAACATTTACCATGCAGTTTGTAGGCAGACATTTCTGTTGCCCTGCTTGCATGTGAGGAAACAGGCTTAAATCTATGGCCTAAGGTCTCCCAGCTAGAAGGTGGCGGTGGTGGGATTCACGCCAGAGCCTGTGTATGGTCCCACCCCGCACTGCTGGCCTTGTTTCAGCACCCCTGGCTTCCTCTCGTTTCACTCTCTGCAGGAGGTGGGGTCTGTGACAAGAGACTGGAGGAGCCTTCCCACCTGTGACTCTGATCCAGGCGGCCTGGCCGTGGATCCTCAGGAAGGAGCTGTTGAGCAGCAGGGTGGAGGTGTTGCTCTGAAGGAGGATTGAAGAACGCGGCCAGAATCCTCGGAGTCTGCAGGCCTCAGGGAGGGGCTCGGCCTGAAAGAGAGCACAGCCCAGGACCCCTAAGGCTGCAGCCAGGCCACAGGACCCCCCTGGACAGTGGCTTCTGAACTGGGGAGGTCTTTCGGATTTGTCTCCGATGGATGGACAGCAGCACCGGCTCTTTCTCCGAGGTCAGCCCAAATGCCCATCCCTAGCGTGTTGGGGTGTCTGTCCTTGGTCAGGTTCCCTGGAAGCAGAGCCTGAGATGAGGGTTTGTGTGCAGGGCATTTACAAGGGAGGGATCCCAGGGAAAACCAGGAGGGTAGCTGAGGTGGGGAGAAAATGAAATGAGGCAAAGAAGTGGTTTCAGGAGGCATCCTGCTTCATTCAGCCTGGTGTCATGGGGGGCTCTGGAGCATAAGCTGCACCACGGAAATTGTGGCACTCAAAGGCTGGGGGGCTGGCTGTTAGACCCCCATGGTTACGGGCCAGCAGCCTCCCCATAGCACTGGGGGAGGCCCGGATCAGCCTGGTAAGAGGGATGGCTGGATCTCCCACGGCGTCTGCTGTGATGTTTCCTGTTGGTTTTGCTCCCTTGCATCCTCTCTCTCTGCAGGCCCATACCCCCAGCCCCTGACTCCTACTCCACTGGCTGAGTGGACTGACCCACCCCCAGCTCAGTCCTGGGCCTGTGACACAGGTCTGGTCAGTCAAAGTGGGAAGACATTTCTGTTTTTGCGAGGCTGCCAGTATCCTCACCTTCTCCAGTGGGGTGTCATCCAAATACCAGCTGAACATGGTTGCTGCTGACTTGTCCCCCATGGTGACCTTCAGTGTAACATCCTTGCTGGCATCCACTGGCCCGCAGTTCTCCTCACAGCTGAAAGGGAGGAGAGAATGGAGCCGGGGAGCTCCTCAGTCTGAGGGGCCACCTTGCCTGGTCCAGTTCTTCTCAAGTTATTTGAGAAGGTAGGAAATGGCCTTTTCTCAAGTGAAAGCGGAATAAAAGCAGCCTCTGCCCCAACCCAAACCAGGGCATACCTGTGGTCATGGAGATGGAGCAGTTTGTGCCTGCCTGAATCCCCACTCCATTCACTGCACAGGATAGCAGTGTGAAAAATGCAGGAGGTTGACAGGACTCCAGGCTCCAATCTTGTCCCTGACACTTATGAAAGACTACCTTGCACAAGTCACTTAACCTGTCTGAGCCTCGGTTTCCTCACTTGCAAAGTGAGGGGATGAGAGCTATCAATCTCCATGATTCTTTATAGTTCTAATAATGATCAATTATTGTTGTTCAGTTGCTAAGTCATGTCTGACTCTGTCACCCCATGGACTGCAGCACACCAGGCTCCCCCGTCCTTCAGTATCCCCTGGAGTTTGCTCAGATTCATGTCCACTGAGTCAGTAATGCCATCCAACCATCTCATCCTCTGCCCCCTCTTCTCCTTTTGCCTTCAGTTTTCCCCAGTATCAGGGTCTTTTCCATTGAGTCAGCTCTTCACATCAGGTGACCAGTGTATTAGAGCTTTGTCTCCAATGAATGCTATGATTTTGCAGCACACCTGCAATGTCCCACCTTTATTAGCTTATCCAGTGCTGACCATAACCCTTTCAGCATTCCCATATCGAAGATGAGCAAGCCGAGCTCAGGGGGTTTATGTGATTCGTCCTGACTGGGGGGATGGAACATGGGCCCATACATCCTGACCTGAGTCTTAGGCCTTCTCTGTGTTACATTCCCTCTCTTAAGTCAATGAGAGGTCAGTTTGACTCCTGCTGTGTCCAGCCATGCCCAGTCCTTTTCATATGAGCTTCATAGTAGCTGAAGAATCTCCCTACTTCTGACTTCTTGTCTACCCTAGAACTAGTGGGCTAAACATTCTCCCTTTGCCCCTGCAGCCCGCTCGCCATCAACTCTGTGGCTCTGTGTACCCAGGACTGAGGTCCACAGACTGCATCACCAGGCTCCCACACCCTCTGTCTTCTATTTGGGCCCAGCCGATCGGGAGCACTGAGACAGTTATTCACCGCTCTCCCTGCTCCTCACCAAATGGCCTGCAGTTGGCAGAGGCCGTGTTCCTCTGGCTGAGGCCCCAGCTCCCAGGGGCACCTCTCCCACAGCTGCAACTCCCCAGGGGATTCATAGGAACGCCATCCCTCCCTCTTACCCCTGAAGTCCTAAGAGGGACAATGGCTTCGTCCTCTTGCAGCCTGCATGGTCATCCCTGGTTGGTCTTCTTATCCCAGCCCACATCTGTAAATCAACCCTTATCCAGCTCCCATCAGTTCCCAGTTCGAGTGAGCCATCTTTTTCCTCCAGGGACCCAGCTGGCAGTCATGCTACCTTGAACTCTCCTCTTGATTCCTGCATGAGCTTAAGCAATCTCCCTGAGTCCTCTCTCACCCGCTCCAGCTGCTTCTCTACCCAGCTACCAGTGTTTGGAAGCAAAACATGATCATGTTCCCAGCCTGCTTAAACATCTTGGTGGCTTTCCAGAACTCTTAGGGTAAAGTCCAAAGTCATGCGTTTGACACAACCCTCAAGGCCCTGCCGAACTAGCCCCTGCCTGCCCTTCCTCTGTGTTCCAGCCACACCAGCCTCTTTCACTTCCAGATTGTTCTATGCTCCCTCCCTTTGCTGTTCTGTTCTCTCTCAAGACCCCCTTTCCTGGCCAAGTTCATTCCTCTTCCGTCTTCACATCTCCGCTAAGGCAGCCTTGGGGTCAGGGAAGCTGTCATGGAAGTGCACTCTCTCCTTCCATTCATTTGTGTGATTCATCACTGACCACTGAGTGACCCCAGAGAGAACAGAGACAGGGCCTGGTTTTCCCCACCACTGTACATCCTGCCCCTTAGTCAGTGTAGCCAGAGTTGACTGTCAGAACACCCTGCTGGACGACAGCCCCACAGGAGTTTGCTCTCACACCCCCACCTGACTCGTGGCCTGAGTTCCACGGGGGCGGACACATAGAGGCACTGCTCCCCCAGGTTCTCCAGCTCCAGGCCTCTCCAGACTGTCAGGCGCAGGGTAACAGCCGAGTCCGAGGGCGGCAGGCAGGACGGCGGAACCACCAGCTCCCTCTGGTCTGTGCGGAGCAGCTGCCTCTCAACACAGTCGCTCCACTGGGCCCAGCAGCGCCCTGAGAGAGAGAGGTGGGTCAACACAGTAATCCACCCAGGAACCTTGAACTTGACACATGCAGGTACCTTCTGGTTTGGGGTTTCTAGAAGAAATGGGTCATTGTTAAGAAAATTGGCTCCAAATAGAGATTTTGATTTATTTTTTTCCAGTTCACTTTCAGGTTGCAGGAATGGTGCTACAGAAAGATGCTTCTGGGAAAAGGACCCTTGCTTCACCCAAACTCTAAGCAAACCTGCAGGGTTTGTTGGCTTGTTTTGCATCAGTGACTTGCACTGGTGAGCAGGACAGCCTATAGCTGGAGAGGCGCTGAGAGGATAAACAGCCCCACCTGGAGAACATTCGAGGCATCTTCTTGTTCTTGATATAAGGGATTGTCCACAGCTGTCTGTCTCTGGGGGTATACTGGGGACCTGGGAGGACAAATCTCCATCTGGGAGGCTGCAGATCATCTCCTGCTTTATATCAGCTCAGTCAATCTTTGCCTTTCAACTCTGTTGATCAATGTTTATCCACTACCCCAACTACCCTCAGTGTGTAGTCATTCACAGGACATGCCTGGGGGTCAGGTCATCAGCTCAGTCACCTAAAGTCTGTATTTGTTGTATCATCTGTTAATTCAGATAATAAGAACTAACATGCTGAAGGGTGTTGTGAGACTTGCCAGTTCATATCAAAAGATTTCAAATATTGCATGACTTTTGACTCAGTTATTCCATTTCTGGGAACTTGTTGATGAAAGTATTCAGAGATGCAAATAAAAATTGAACCTTGTAAGGATGTTCATTAATAGCGTTGTTTTTAAGGGCAAATAATTCAAAAGAAACTCAGTGTCAAAAAAGAGGGCACTGGTGAGTAAATGCCCATATAGCAACTTGGCAGTCTATTATGCAGTTATGAAAATCAAGGTGCAGAAGAATATATTGACTTAAAAATATATGGGATATATTGTTCAATGAAAAAAAATGGTTAACAAAAGCTATATGTACAGTATGAATGGCATTCATTTTATTTCTAAAGGAGTGTGTCCATAGGTAGGATATATCTAAGAATCTGCCCACTAATGCAGGACGTGCAAGAGGTGCAGGTTTGATCCCTGGATTGGAAAGATTCCCCTGGAGTAGGAAATGGCAATCCACTCCAGTATTCCTACCTGGGAAATTCCATGGACAGAGGAGCCTGGTGAACTACAGTCCACGGGGTCGCAAAGAGTCAGACACAACTGAGCACATACACCTAGCTAGCTATCCCTATAAAAAGGAGAACAACCACTTCTTAAAAATAGGTGCTAGTGGTTGACAAAAAGTTGTGTCAGAAAAGGCCTCATCATTTCCTCTTTCTAAACTGTGGCATACCAAAAGCGTGGAGGTTAAAAGAGGGATGGAGTCCAAGAGGAGAGGAGTGTTTTACCACTGACATTATTTGTGACAATAATAAAAAAGCAGACTGACTTTTAGGATCTAATTATTGTTCCTAAATTCTCTATAGATAGTGCCTCTTCTGGTTGCCTGCCTTTAAGGCCACTGCTCTTCACACCTCCCATTTCCATGGAATTCACCATCTCTGGCACATACAAGGCACACAAAATGTTAAGCATGAATAATCCTGGTGTGAAGGTTAAGAACAGCAAAAGCTGACTGCTGTCCATTGCTTCATGATGAGATAAGATGGTTGAGAACTCTAAGACTACCTACCACATGCCCACTGGAAGCGTAAGTCCTTATCCCCATCTGGCCAGCCCAGGGTCACTGTGGTGAAAGGATCCAAGTACCGACCAGGTTCCACGTACAGCTCCATGTTCCCTTTGTCTCTCTGCAGAAGAAGCAGCTGGACAGTGAGACACCCTCCACAGTTGGCACCCCACCTTCCTCCCCAGAACAGTCTGTGCAAGAGATGGCCACAGTGTAAGGTGTGGAGTGGGATGGATCACCAGGTAAGTCACTAGCCTGGTGTGGACTGATGGCTAAGGGTTCATCATACATTCAGCTGTGTTAGCAGCAGCGGCTATGGGCCAGGCCCTGTGCTTGATGCCTAGAGATACAGGAACAGAGAGAGACCCAGCCCCTGCCCTCCTGTCTCCTCTGACTGACAGACGAGAAGACCAAGGATTAAAACGCAGAGTGCTAACTGCTGCAGTAGGGGGCGCTCAGGGGATCATGGAAATGTAGATGAGGGAGGCAGTAGGCTAAGAGCATCTGCTCCCCTGGAGGTTCTGATGGTGTCTGACTCCTGAGGTTGCTGCATATCAAATGAGAATAAGAGTGACGCGTGTGCTCTTGTGCCTGGAGCAGAGAGGCTGCAGAGCTGTTAGCTCTACACAGCAGACAGCCGCTGTTGGGGTAAGCTTCCCAGAGGACAGGACCCTGGGGCATTCTGGGAGGAGGACGGAGGGAGAGCTGGGCAGTGACAGAGGGACCATGGATGCTAGGAAAGGGGTTGTCAGGAGTGCAGTGTGCTCCAGGATCAATTCTGGTTGGACCTGATGAAAGCTCAGGCCCAGAGGGCTTGGCCTGGGAACAACAGGAGGCTGCAACAGAGCTCAACCCCCAGGGGTCTCCATGGCCGAGAATAAAACCCAACACCCTTGCACTCATGTTATTTGGCCTCTGCCCATCTCAATAATCTCCTCCATCCTCCTCCTCCCCTGACACAGCCTCAGAGCCTTCTCATCTATGCACCCAGACAGCTCTTGTTCTGCCTAACAGGGTGGCTGCCTATCCTACCTTCAGGTCCCCACTTAAATGTCACTTCTTTAAGAGGTCTTGTCTGGTCACATTTAATAGTACACTTATACTGTCTGTTAGTTGCTGTCATCGCACCCTATTGATTCTGGTTAGACACATCACAATTATTAATTCTTTGCTAATTTGTTAGTTAATCTCACCCAGTAAGCTTCATGAAGACAGGGACCACACATATGTTTATTCACCAGTGTATCCCCAACCCCTAATATTTGAATGTTGAGCATCGTAGAGGCACAGTAGATCTTGTTGTTGAAGAAATGAATGCAAGAAAAAAGTCAACAGCAAGGAATCAAATACTTAGTCTTGCTATAAACACTAAAGTACCTAGGTCTTTTTTCTAAAATAAGCATTAAAAGCCATGAATTTCCCTCTGAGCATTGCCTGAGCTGCGTCCCATATATTTGGATAGGCTGTATTATCACTTAGAAATATTTTAAAATATCCTTCTGATTTTTTTCTTTGATCCATTGATCTTTTTTTAAAGAAGTGTGCTGTTTAATTTCCAAAATGTCTGATAGTTATCTACACATCCTAGATAACTTATTATTGATTTATTACATAGTGCTGTTGTGATTAGAGAATATGCTTCATTTGATTTCAGTTCTTCTGGGCTTCTTTTTAAACAGAAGAAGCCTTATTGATTGCTAGTGCTCTGGCTGTTAGCACCAAAAGGCCCAAACCCCAGACTAAAACAGAGTACTTGGACACCTTTTTTCTTGTAAGGTTAAGTGTTTTTTAAAAATACTCACATTCTTTCTCTGGACCTTTGTTCCAGGTGGTTCTTGGAGACTGGAAGGAGCTGTGAACACAGTGGGGATGGATGTCAAACATTGGTGGTGTTTATAAGGTCACCAAAGGGCAGAGTCATAGCATCTGCCCGTCTCTGGAAATAATTTAGGGACACATAGCAAACATTCAGGTCATAGGAAACAGGTCAGAAGCAAAACCGTCATGGTTGCCACTGGCCCAGAGATACTGCTTTTGCAGGTAAGAAAGAGGTAGACAGCTGCCAGTGCACTTAAGATTTAGGTCAGACATGCGACTGTTTTCTATTAGTGTTTACCTAGCACTTGAAGGGTGAGGATGGGAGCCCTGATTTGTAGTGCTTGTGGATTTCTGTGGTGCAAATGATCCCATAAAGGCAGATCTCAAGATGCCCAGGTGACCTCACAGAACGCAGAGTGGGGAGAGATGGGTACAACCCACTCTGGCGGTCTGGTAGGAGTTGGACTCAGCGCACCATGGTGTGTTTCTGGATCCGTTCATTGGCCTCTAACTGGCTGTGTGAACCTGGGCAGGTTAGTTACTGAGTATCAGATAATTCATCCATAAAGAGTGGGCTTCCCAGGTGGCACTAGTGGTAAAGAATCCACCTGCCAATGCAGGAGATGCAAGAGACGCAGGTTTGATCCCTGGGTTGAGAAGACTCCCTGGAGTAGGAAATGGCAACCTGCTTCAGTGTTCTTGCCTGGAAAGCCATGGACAGAAGAGCCTGATGGACTATAGCCCACAGGGTCTGCAAAGAGCCGGACACAAATGAGCGACCGAGCATACACAGCTGTGAAGAAGGCTAAAGGCAACCCTTATTTTCAAAGCTCCAGGAGCACTGAGTGCTGTGCTGTATATATTATTGCTTTGTCATCGTCCATAAAGAATATTAGTGTGTCAAGTTTTTAAAAAATGGAGCCGGTATTCTCAGGTGATATGCTCTGAAGATAACTGAAATGTGAGTGTGATCACTGCCTAATTAAAGTGTAGTGATTAAGCTGAGCACTTAGGATCGGTCATTCCATGTGATTCACTAGGCCCTGGTGGCTTGGATATTTTAATATCAAGGTATTACTGATCCTTAAAAAAATTCCCTCTCAGTAAATTCTTATTCTTACAATGATAAGTTTGAAGGTCTGTAAAATTATACAAAGCAAAGCTAAAATGCTAGACCCAGAGAACTTGCTTAACCTTAAGAAGGAAGATGGTCCCTGAATAAAGAAATTCAGAGAGATAGTTGCNAGGTCTGTAAAATTATACAAAGCAAAGCTAAAATGCTAGACCCAGAGAACTTGCTTAACCTTAAGAAGGAAGATGGTCCCTGAATAAAGAAATTCGGAGAGATAGTTGCTACCCTGGTCCCACTGTGAATTAACTGAGTGACTTCTTCAAAGTCAGTTGACCTCTCTGGGCCTTAAGTGGCACGTATGAAAACTCCTAGGGGGCTGTGGACAGCAGAATGGACATCTCATATCTTTCCTCCCACCCAGGTGTCCTTGCACCTTCTTTTGATAACAGCACTCACAGGTGATGTTTTCCCTGGGGGAGCACCCCACCGCACTCTCACCCGCAGTCCTGTGGGCGGACCTGACCCTACGTTAGGTTCTGGGGCGGACCTGACCCTACGTTAGGTTCTGGGGCGGACCTGACCCTACGTTAGGTTCTGGGGCGGACCTCACCCTGCATTAGGTTCTGGGGTGGACCTGACCCTGCGTTAGGTCCTGGGGTGGACATGTGGCCCTGGTCTGCCCTGAGGACCACTCCCTCCCGGCCTCTGCAGTGGGGCTAGGAGGGGCCATGAGCCAAGCTGGGGTAAGTGAGAGGCAGCGTCAGGACTTACGGAGAAAACGTCAACAAAGAGATGCTTTTTCTCCTCGGGGTTAAGGACTGAAGCCTGGGGCCATCTTGCTACTACTTAGGAAGAGGGAATCAGACTGCAGCCAACATAGAATCAAGAGATGGAGAGAGGCAGATTTCTGAAGACACTGAGTGACGGATCTTGCTGTGCCTAAACCCTGGACTTTTCTGAGAGTTGATAAAATTTCCTCTTGACTTGAGCCAGTTTGAATTTTCTGCCTCTTGCTACTCAAAAGTTTTGGCAAACATGTTCAAGGCAAACTTTCAGACAGTGACATCTACTGTTGGCTGCCTACCAACAGCCTTCCTCTTGGCTGACAGAATCCATCTTCTCCCACAGGGCCTAAAAATTCTGGCTTCCCAGCATCCCTTGCAGTTGGGCATATGACCCTACCTTGGCCAATGGTATTTAAAGGGAAGGTTGCTAAGGACTAGTGGAAAAGCTCCCCCCCACCAATAAAAAGAGAGGGGGGCTTCCCAGGTGGCTCAGTAGTAATGAATCTGCCTACCAATGCAAGACACATAGGTTCTATCCCTGGTCCAGGAAAATCCCACATGCCACAAATCAACTAAGCCTGAGCACCACAGCAATTATTGAGCCCATGCTCTGGAACCTGGGAGCTGCCACTACTGAAGCCCGTGCATCCTAGAGCCCATGCTCCACAACAAGTGATGCCACCCACCACAATGAGAAGCCCATGCATCACAACTAGAGAGTAGAGAGTTGCTCATTGCAACTAGAGAAAAGCCTACACAACAACAAAGACCCAGCACAACCATAAATAAGTAAATAAAATTATTTTCTAAAAAGAGATGAATGCGGGTAAATGGGTTTCTGCTGCTGCTGGATAATGCTGGGTTGACATGTGATGTCTGGAACTGCAGCAGCCATCGGGATTACATGAGGCATGAGCCTAAGGATCAAATAAATGCTCTGAGGATGGCAGAGCAGAATGACAGATGGAGCCTGGGTCCTTGCTGGTGATATTGAGCCATTGAACCATCCCTGGAACTACTTACCTCCTAACCAATTACATGAGATAATGTGACTTGAACTTAAAGCCACTTAGGTGGGGCTTGCTATTACTTGAAGCCAAAAAGATTGTAAGTAATACGAGTTCAGATGTTTTAGAATTCTGTATCAATGGTTGGATGTTATACTGGTTACATTATTGCCTGTTTAGAGTAACCAGAGAATTCTTGATATCTGTAGAACAAAGTAAGTATTCAAAGCTCTGTTTTTTGAGGGGCTCCTCTCTGGATCCTGAGCCAGTGTGGATGCCCCTAGTCACAAATTTTATGCCCCTTTTCAGAAAACTCTTACCTGTGACAGTGATGCTTCCAATTTCCAAACTCAAGTTTGAGAAGGCGTCCCTCACCAGTACAGTGACCAGAAAGGTGCCTGCAATACAAAAAGTGGAGAATTATGGGCATTGTAATCAGAGGCTCAACTTACTGTGAGACAGTTCTCCCAGCCTGTGCTTCTCCAGTCCTCTGACTGCAGCATCTGACTCTTCCATCACTGAAGCATTTAATGATTCCCTGTTGTGTGCCAGGCATGGAGCAAGGCTCTTAGGACACAGGAATGAATGACAGGTGGTCCTTGTCCTCAGGACCTTATTGTCTAGGAGGCATGTGGGGCTTTCCAGGGTAGGAATCGGCATGGGGAGCAGTGTGGGCACAGGTTAGGGGGGTGGCTTCCATCTTGGGGGAGAAAGAAATGTTTATGGGTTGTGGCAGGGCCCAGAGCTGAAGTTCAAAGGATGAGTAGTCCTCATTTGCCAGCCAAGAGAGGGGATTCCAGCAGAAGGAGGCCTTGACGTGTTTTAAAGGGTCAAGGGTGGAGAGCGGGGAGAGAGACTTGTCAGAGGGTTTGGACAGAGCTGGTGCTACATGTGTGTCTCCATCTTGCCGCTCATGGGGAAGGGGGCTGGGCGCTGCCTTCTTCTCTTCTCAAGCCTGGAGAGAAGGTCTCCAGAGAGGGCCCTTGGACAGCTGGGCATGTGTTCTTTGGGGCTGAGGACTCACGTGTGCTGTGCTCGGCCACTCAGTCATGTCTGACTCTGTGACCCCATGGACTATAGCCCTCCAGGCTCCTCTGCCCATGGAATTTTCCAGACAGGAATACTGGGGTGGGTTGCCAATTCCTCCCCCAGGGGATCTTCCTAACCCAGGGATTGAACCTGTGTCTCTCATGTCTCCTGCATTAGCAGGCAGATTATTTACCACTAGTGCCAACTGAGACTCCCATGGGCAATTTCTTACTCGTGGCCTTGAAGGAATGATCTGTGACAGGTGGAGGGAGGGGGAAGGGAAGACAGGAAAGGTGGCATTTCTGTATTTGGGAAATGACTACAGTCGGCTGGTAGCAGCCAAGGACTGGGTGAGAATTTGCTATGGACCAGACGTTTGCCCTTGGGAGAAGGGGCACTGGAGATGATAGAGAGAATAAGGAGATCAGAGACAGGGACCCTTTTGGTGACGGGAGAAGCACCAGCTGAGGCGATGTGACCCCGAAGGAGAGGCATTACCCCCACCCCAGGAGCCTGTGGAAGCTCCCAAGAGAGGGAGCTGCAAACCCCTGCAGGGCCCCGAGAGCAGGGCCGGTGCCATCACGTGAAGGACTTCTGTCCCCACCCGATGCCCTTTCCCTTCCCTGTCCCCTTCATCCTGGAGGCATCCAGTCTGTTCTCGTGGGAGGAGAAGACTGCTTATCATCTGAGAGTGAGTCCGAAAGTCAGAGGGTGTACAGAGATTTTAATCTCTCATCCCCTGCTGAGTAACTTTAAAGGGGACAAAAAATTAATTTACATTTGAACTATAGCCTCTGTATTGTTTTTTCCATTGTCATTCCGTTTCATTTCCAGATTCTTCCTGTTCCAATCTGTATCCTTCAGTACCTGGCAAAATTGCAGTTTTTCTCTTCTTGACTCTATCATTCCTTCTGCCATCTCTCTCTCTCTCTCTTTTTTTTTAAACCAACTCCGTTGCTGAGGGCATGGTGGCCCACACCTGTACCTCATTACCCCACCTTCTCACACATGTCTGAGGTCCAGGGCAGGGGACCTGGGTGGGCTGGAGACTCTGCGGCCTTCATCACATTCCTGCCTGCTGACCTCACCACACTGGCCCCAGAGAGCTCTGTTCTTTCCAGATTAATTGCACGTCAGCTGTGGCTTCCTGCCCTGGCTGGTGCCAGCCAGTCTGCTGCCCTGTCATCTATTCCCGCCAGCATCCCGACACTTCCTTTCTTGTCCCTCTGTTTCCCACCCTGTAGTTTTTACCAGTCTCTCCCCACAGGGCATGGACTGCAGTTTCCCGAAACACATTCTCCTCTAGAAATGATGGAAGAGATCCAAGTGCGCCTGCTCACGTCCAGTGATTCTCCATGGGGGTGATTCTGCTCTCTAGGGCGCAGTTGGCAGTGACTGGAGACATTTGTAGTGGGTCCAGGCCAGGGATTCTGCTAAACATCCCGTGACGCACAGGACTGTCCCAACAACAAAGAATTATCTGGTTCCAAATGTCAGGAGGGGGCTTCCCTGGCTCCTGGGAAAGGCTGAGCACTGGAGAAGGGGGCAGCAGAGAATAAATTGGTTGGATGGCATCACTGACTCAATGGACGTGAGTTTGAGTAAACTCCAGACAGTGGAGGACAGGGAAGCCTGGCGTGCTGCAGTCCATGGGGTCTCAAAGATTCGGACATGACCGAGCGACTGAACAACAAAATGTCAGAAGTGCCGGAGTTGAGAATCCCTATAACTATAAGCTCCATGACTGAAGATGGCCTCTGTCCCTTCCTTATTTTGTGTCCTCAACTGGATGCTGTGAACCACATTTGTGTCTTGGACATATGAAGAAACTGGCTAAGAGGACCCTAGACACCAAGTTGGGAAGGGAAGATAAGGGAGGTTTGGAAGGGGAGCCACACACCCCAAATACCTTCAAGAGGAACCACCACATGGTAAGTCCCAAATGACCCTCTGAGGTTCTCTTTCTCATAGGAGAAGGTTGTATTGAGTCCTGCCACCTCAAAGGTCAAACCCTCCGGGATGCCGTGAGCCACCGAGACATTGATTAGTAGGTCCTGTCCAAGCTCCAAGTGGTCAGAAGCCCAGGAGGCCTGAAGCCCCGACAGAGCCTCCACGAAGTGGACGGTGATGTTTCTGGAGGGGGCAGAGGTGGTGGTGTCGCTGGTGGCTCGGATCTCCAGGTAGTGCATCCCTGGGCCCATTTGGCGCTGGACTCCTCTGTCCAGGGTCAGATTGTACGGCAGCGGGCCCCTCTGCGTGGTGAACTCAGCCAGGGTTGTGTCACCTGACAGCACGGTGTAAGTCACCCTTGTTCCTAGGTGGAGTAAGAAACATTTAAGGATGTCAGTAACAACATGCAGTAGGTTATACTGAGATAGTTCAGACTCCAGCTGTGAAGTCAGAGTCCACATATCCACATAGATGTGGATATAAAGATGTATGTATGGGTATACCCTCCCCCAGATAATTAACACTGATCTCTGAGTATTGGGTTCACAAGTGATTTTTCTTTCGGGGTCCTCACTGCTCACCTGCATAGTCTTAATTATTTCCGTCTCCATGACTGGCCACCTGAAACCCTGCCCAATGGGAGAACTCAGCCCATTCACATTAAGATAGGGCTCCCTTACAGCTTGGGGGTGGTTGTGCTACCTGGATGCTAAATATTGTGGTTGACTCTTAAAATATGATTTAAGCCCCCAAATTAATATTCTTTCCAATAGAAACCAAGCTAGTGTGTTTCTTTTTTGAGTGATGGTGATGTTGATGGGGGTGATGATGGTGATGATCGCCCTCTGAGAACACGAACCTTGACTTTCATGTTTATTGCTGCCTTCCCCATATCTGGCAAAGAGTAGTCTCTCAATTATATTTTTAGAATGAAAAAAAGATTATCTAAAGCTTTTCCAGGTGCACCTAGGTTGCATCTTCAGCCAACCAGAACACCAGAACAGAAAGAAGCCCCAAGCACTGTGTTTAAAGCCCGGTTATAGCTCCATGAAGTTGCTGCTCTGAGTGAGGTTCCAGGGGGTGTGAGGCTGGGCTGAGACCTGTCCTCCTCCCCACAGCTCTGTGCCGCTCAGTAGCCTCTGTCCAGATCTCAGACTGGACCTGTGCCTTGAGGAAAGATGCTGCTTCGGATGAGGTCAGGTCTTGGTTAGAAGGGTTCTCTATGGACAGAAGGGGTGATACACAAAGTATTTAGCAACTGCCATCGCATGGACACTACAAAGTAGAATGATGTCCTGATAAATCAGAATGGATGCTGTGACCAATTGAAATGCATGCTGTGACCAATTAGAAGGACATTGTGACCAATGAGAAATACTGCTGTGACCAGCTGGAATAAATGCCATGACCAATCAGAATGGATACCATGACCAATCAAAATGGGCATGATGACCGAGCAGAATGGCCTCTGTGACCAGTCAGAAGGGAAACGGAGCAGCCAGATGTACACCAGCCGTAACAGCTGCTGCGGCTATACCAGTGTGTGCAGCTGAATGTTAGCTTGAACTGGGGGCAGTGTGATTGTGCCAAGCTGGTCACTGCTGGCTGAGCTGAGATGCGCTCAGGCCCAGCTGGCAGCCCTCACACTGCTCTTCACACTCCCCAAATGGGGTGGCTTGGAGGTCCATTTCTTGCAACGGGACATGGGCATGCCAAGGATCTTTAGGAGGCTAGTTGCCCTCACTAGTCTTGTGACTTAGGCCAAATTTCTGAACATTTCTTCCATTTCTCCCTTTGAAAAATATACTGGGTGGACTAGTATATATATATAGCACTTAGACCAGGTTCTGGTATACACTAGGTGCTAGATAAATGAATGGCTGAAAAAACTGACTCCATAAATCATTGTTGTTAGTATTTATTAAAGCCTGGGAGCTGGATGGATAGATTTGGGGCAAATCAAGGTTGCCTTGATCTTGACCATTTCTGAAGACTCACCTCCATCAAGTTCCACCTGAACCCACAGAGGGTCCCCGAAGACTGCCCGGCAGAAAGGGCTGGCTCCTGATGTAATCAGGCCAGAGCACCCAGTCACACGGAGCCTCTCCGTGTTGTCTTGAATCATCACTTGCTTCTGAGCCATCACATGCCACTCGCTGGTCGAACACTCAGCAAACACGGTGAAATCCCCAGGGGCTCTGAACTGGTGGGTCACCCTGCTGGACAGACTGCCATCAACAGTCAGAAACGTTGCCAGTGTTGGGCTCACACGAATACATGATTCACACGTGTACACACATGTACTCACCCACGGCACATCTTCCCTGCTCTGCAAGGATAAAAGGAATGAAGAAAAATATGCCACACAACTAAGCCAGGGCTCAGTGTTCACAGAGGTTACATTAAGACTCCCAAAGCAAATGAGAAGTGGAAGAAATAGCTCTGACTAACCAGGGAGCCAAATATTTGGCTGCGAGTCTGTTCTCTGCCATTTACTGCCTCTGTGGTTCATACCAACCCCCTCTTTGGGCCTTCGTGTTTAGTCTGTAAAATACTGTGCCCAGTCTACCTCTCTGAGCTTTCTTTTCCCATCTGTAAAATGGGATCAGAGTCCAAACATATCAGAATTGTGGCTGTTTTGCTTCTCATTTTCCCAAGGGGACTAGTTTAAATCTCTAAAATGGTCCAAAAAGATCCTCATCACCTCCCTTCCTGTCCCTCTCCTCAGCCCCTGCCACACTCCCCTTCTCTGACTATCCTAGTAGCTCAGACATCTTTCCAGTTCATAGGACTTGTCACCTCTTCCCCACCCAAAGTCCAGGAAGCCTGCTGTTCTTTGCAGGGAAAACTGCCCTTCTCTCTGCTCATACTTTTGGTCTTCCTTCAGTTCTCATTTTAAACATTGCCTCCTCTGGGAAGTTTTCCTAGATTCCCTTATAGACACTGTAGCTTCACTGCTTCTCCTGGGTGACCCTTACTTATTCACTGTCATTCTTCTCTGCGGGGCTGTCAGTGCAAATAGTATCTGTCTAGTTCTCCCTTTATACCTGGCACCTGGCACAGCACCTAGCACATAGCAAATGCTTGAGAAATAGTTTACAAAAGGACACAGTTGTGAAAAAGCTTGGAGAACAGTGACCCGATTCTTGGTGCCAACCAAGATGGAGTTAGCCCATGATAGCCTGTTTCTTCATTAATTACAACTAAAATACTGGGAGAACACAAAAAGAAACTATGAGAGGACCTTGAAAAGTAAACACCAGCAGGCAGATTGAGGACAAAAGTCAAAACTTTAAGAATCATCCATAAAGATGGGAGTTTCCTGTTTTCCTTCTTTCCTTTTTTTTAAGTCCCTTTTATCTTTTGACTTTGTCCCAGTGGTAGTCTGAGTCATGGTACTGCACAGTGAGTAAAGAAAACAAAAACCTGAAGAGAAATCCCTTCTGTTAGCCAGGGGACCAGAGAAAGGGGCCTAGTGAGTCTGAGAGTACAGAGGAAATACCCATTTTTTGTTTCATGTTGTTTCTCTTTTCTTCTCTCCTGTCCCCATCTCAAGCTCTCCTCTCTCTTGGAGCTGCATGGACTGTGTGGGATGATGCCGAAATACCTAAGAGAAAACTGATCTTTCTATCCAGAGGAACCATGGAAAGGGGACTGTGGAAGCTGGAGATTGTAGGGAAAGTCCTTAAAAGGAGAGAAGAGAATTCCCTAATTCTGCGTGTGACCTAGCATGAATCATGAGTTCACCCGTAATGTGTGCACGTGCAGAACAGACCCAAAGAAACATAGTAAACGCCTTTAGTAAAGGACTGAACTACAATGTAAACCAGCACCCCAAGTGGCACATGAGTGGAACAGAACCTGACAGCTTTGGAAACTGAACTGGTGTGTGAATCTCTGCTCATAGAAGGCAGGTCAGAATGTGTGGCCTGCATCTAATTGAGTTGGTTGTCTGCTAAAACAAAACAAACAAACAAACAAAATATTAACATTTTCCAGAGCATTTTAGAAAGAACACAGAGTCTTGGAACCTACTACCCAAAATGTTCAGAATACAATTCAAAGTTGCCTGATACACAAAGAACAAGGAAAATGTAACCAAATTTCAGGGAAAATATCATCGATATATGTCAGCTCTGAGATGACTCAGATATTGAAATTACCAAAGACTTTAACCCAGGGATTATAACCATGCTCCACGAAGTAAAAGGAAATCCTCTTGAAATGAATGGAAAGATAGACATTCTCAGCAGAGAAATATAAACCATTAAAAGCGAAATGGAAATTTTAGAAATGAAAAGCACAATGTATGAAACAAAAGACTCCTTGGATGGATTTAATAGCAGGATAGAGATGGAAGAGGAAAAACCTAATAACCTAAAGATAGAGCAGGAGGAATCATCCAACCTAGAGAACACAGAGGGAAAAGAGATTAAATTTGTTAAAATGAGTAGAATGTCCGCAATCTGTGAAACAATATCTAAAAATTAAACATTTGTGTTATTTTAGCACCAGAGAGAAAGAGCTTGGTGTAGAAAAAT